ATTGATTACCAACCTACTATACCCCCCCCCTCCCCCCCCCCCCCCCCATTCGCCACCGCCACCCGACCGTTGCCCCGCCCCCCACTCCACTGGCCACCACCCGGACTACCCCCATGTCGCGGTCCATCTCTGGAGGCAACGACATGCCCGAGTGGCGGCGACGAACATTGAGCCTTCTCAACACATCACCAAGTGCCCGCAGCTCGTCTGCATCCCCACGTGCTCCTGTTCGTCCCTCGCCCGACCCGGCCACGGCGGCCCGAGTCGCCTACTGGCTCAAGCAGAGTCCGCCGCCCGCCGCCACCGCCAGCTCCGCACACACGTCGCAGTTTCCCGCCAACTCTTTCGCCCGCTCACCATCACCCATCTCGCACACACTCTCGATGGAAGGATCGGCTTTGTCTCGCCCGATGTCGCCCACCACCGCCGCTGCCGCCCGCTACGTCGCTCGCCATCGCTCTACCCTCAACACCCCCAACGAGCTGAGGCTACAGGAGATGCGCGACAGATCGACGCCGCCGCCAACCCCGATGGTCCCGCCGCGGAACAAGCCGAGTGTCCTGGACGAGTCTAACATTGCCCCACCGAGACTGGATCAGGTGTCGGACGCATGCGAGGTCGAGGCTGAGGCTGAGGCTGAGGCTGAGGCTGAGCCGGAGCCGGAGCCGGAGGCCTCGGCCGAGTCCGAGGCCGATGCCAAAGTCCGCATGCTGGCTGAAGAGCTCAAGGCTGCGCATGCGCGTGCGCTTGAGGATCGTGAGCTGATTCACACCTCGCAAGCTGGGTACAAGGCCCATGTCGAGCTCCTGGAGGACCGCGTGGAGGCGCTTGAGGCCGAGCTTGCCGCAGAGCGGCAAGATCGCAAGGCCGCAGACGCTGCCAAGGCCGTCAATGTCAAGCGCATTGCAGATTTGCAGGCCGAGCTCGGTAAGGCCAAGCGGAATCAAGCCAAGCTCGTGGCTGCGCTCGACAAGACCCGGTCCAAGCTTGCCGCCGCTCTTGCCGACGCCGACTCGCAACGCTCGGCACTCACCCAGCAGCTTGACGCCGCCCACGGCAAGCTGGCCAACACCGAGCTTCTGCTCCAGGCCCGCGACCGCCAGCTTGTCCAATCCCGCGCTGCCTTCAACCTCCGTGTCGGTGAGCTGGAGGATCTTGCCCATCACGCCACCGCCCGTCTCCGGTCGTCGCAAGCCCTCACCGATCCGGCCGCCTACATCCCACGCCACGCTCACGACGCGCTCCGAGCCAAGCTAGACAAAGCGCGGGCCGAGATCCGCGACCTCAAGCGGGCCCTTGCCCGGGCCCATCATCCGCCGGTGGCCGCCATCGACTTTGTGGCTTCAGGCACACCCTCTTATCTCTCTCATCCGGCCACAAGCCACGATGACGACACTTCTGTCGACCACTCTCGATCTCTCCACCAGCGCCGCCCTCCGTCGGCCTCACCAGAGCATCCCAAGCTGTTCAAGGTCACCGCCAACCTCACATCGTACGAAACTGACCGCCAGGCCTACGCGTAACACGCCCACACCACCATCCATCGCCCATTTGCTGTCCATCGCTCCCCACCTTTGCCTCTATCGTGTTGCCCCCCATTTGGCGCGCGCCAAACGTCACAGGCACCGCCGCCACCACCACCACCACCCACCGCACCACCACCACCACACACGTCACTCCGTCCACATGTCTGCACCGGCCAAGCCTCAGTCACTTCCGTCTCGGGAATGTGGCGAGTCTGGCGAGTCTGGCGGGCGTGTCCGTGTCCGTGTTCGCAAGGCCAAGTCGGGCAAGAAGGCCAAGTCGGGCAAGGCGGCTGCATCGGGGACGACGGCTGGATCAGGCAACAAGGCAACATACACCACAAACGGCGGAAAGCACTCGATTGGTGCCTCGATCGCAGTCGGGGCCAGGTGGGAGGCTTATCGGGCCCAGACGGGCGTGGTCCGTGACGGCGAGTTTGCTGGCGGGACCCGGAATCGCATCCTCCATCACGTCCTGGGCCTTGATCCCGAGTGTCCGCCGTCGTCCGAGGCTGCTCGGTCGTTTGTCTACACCTATGACATGATGTACACCGGGAACGAGCTCCTGGCGGCGCTGGCGGACATGTTCTCCATGCGTGAGGCGCTGGAGCAGCTTGCCGGCGCGTCGATGGCGGCCATGCAGGTCTTTGTCATTGGCCTCTCCAAAGCCCGAGCCAGTGTTGTTGCTTTTCTTGACGAGTGGATCACGCTCCGTCCGCATGCCTTTGCCGCCAATAACGGCGAGCTGATGAACGCCGCGCTCGGATTCATGTCGCAGGCGCTGGTGGCGCCGGGCGTCGAGGCTGGCCAGCGCGCCAAGCTCGAGCAGATGGCCCGAAGCCTGGTCGTCGCCGGCCCGCTACCGGGTTCGAGCGGGCCAAGTGTCCCGTATCTCGACGCTGGCGGGAGCTCGGACTCCCGTGGGGGCTCGGGTGCCACTCTGGCAGTGGCCACGCTTGCGCTCGGCTCGCCGGCACAGGTTGCCGAGCAGATCACGCTCCTGCAGCACCGTGCGTTTTCGGACATTGTGCCCGGCGAGCTGCTGGGACTCGGCGGCGAGCCGAGCGCTGCCGAGCTGCGCGCGGCCTCCCCGGGTCTCGCAGTCTCGCTCGCCCTCTCCGAGACGCTCTCGATGTGGGTCCTCAATGCGGTCTTGCAGGAGCCGTCCAAGTCGCGGCGAATTGCCGTCCGCGACTTTTTCCTCGCACTCTCCAAGGCCTGCTTTGACATGGACAACGTGTGCGGGGCGCGCGATGTGCTCATGGCGCTAGACCACTCGCTCATCTCAAACCTCAAGGAGCACACAGCCGAGTGGCGCGGCGCCGACTCGGAGTACTACACCACGTACATTCCAGTCTATCTCGATGCGAGGCACCTCAAGGTCCGCGAGCTAATGATGAGCCGGCCGCGGCCGACGGTTCCTGTCGTTGTCGCCTTCAAGTACTGGTCCGTCCAGGCCGACATGAAGACTCCGCTGGTACTCGACACGCAGTCGTCGCTCTCGCCAGGCAGCGGGCCTGCGCTAGCCCGCGACCCCGGGCCCGAGACCCAGTGGTACTCGATGGACAAGGTTCGCATTCTCGGCTCGACCGCGGCGGAGCTCGCCTCGCTGCAGGGCGGCGAGTACTTTTTCGAGCCGGATGCGGCAATCTCTTCGTTTATCACCGCTCTGCCGGCCCGCCTCTGGCCGATGCGCAAGCTGGAGAAGCAGGCCGACGCCATCGACCCGATGGATCCAGCGCTGGCGGCGGCGCTCGGCCTCGCATGAGTGCCTGCTCGCGGCGTCAGTGCGACTGGACGACCCGGTACGACGAGATCGGCTGCGACGGGTCGAGCTTCGACGGCGAGCACGCAGGCGTGGCAAATTCATGCGCCACGCGGGTGGCCTCTTCCTTAGATGCCCGTGGCGCGCTCGCTGCCTCCTGGACCAGCCGCTGGTGCACGGCTGACTGGTGGCGGCACTCGGCAGCAAGGTACGCTCGCCAGTCGGACGCTACTTGTCGCTCGACAGCCAAGAGGCTGCTCGCCGACGTGGCCACCGAAGCGTCAAAGTCCGGCTTGACAAAGTATATGATGCCTTCGGCGCGGGTGAACCGCGGAACCGCGTACGTTGCGTCGCGGAAGAGCGAGTAGCTCGGGTCCGCCGCGCCCGAATCGGTGGCCGACAGCAGGACCATGACCAGCACAAAGAGCAGCGGCAGCATTTGCGCAATGTTAAAGGTAAAAGCCCCGCCATCAGAGCCTGCAAAAGGGCTCCGTCCGCGCTGGAACCCGCCGCCACGCCCGCCAGCCCGGTAGTGTCCGCTCTGCCGCGCAAAGTGCGTCCGGAACAGCTGCTCAAAGATGTCGTCCGGATGCATCGGGTACTCGGGTCGCGCCCGTGGCGCCGCCGCCGCGTCCTCGCGATCAAACCCAATCGAGTCGTAGTCGCTCCGCCGGCTCTCGTCGCTGAGGCAGTCGTACGCCTTTTGCACCGAGGTGAACGCCTCCTTGGCCCCTGGCGCCGTGTTCTTGTCCGGATGCAGCTTGAGCGCCATCTTGCGATACGCCTTTTTGATCTCTTTGCCCGATGCCGTCTTGGCCACGCCCAACACTGCATAGTAGTCGTTCTTGGCCTGCAGCACCTTCCGGATGACGTCCACGTGGCCTTGCGGCACAGCGCTCGTCCCTCCTGCCGCCGCCTTGCCTCCTCCTGCCGAGCCAGCTCCTCCTGCTGCCGACGACGACGACGCCGCCGCCGCCGAGCTCCCACCCCCGCCACTTCCGCCACTTCCGCCACGTCCACCACCACTCCCGCCCTCGGCCTCGGCAATGGTCTGCAGCACCTGCCGTGCGTCTGGGTTCTCGTGGAGCTGGAGCGACTTTGAGGCAAACTTGCGGGCTCGGGCAAAGTCACCGCGGGCAAGAGCCTTACGGGCAATGTCCACGCACCGCTGCGCCTCGTCTGCGTTCATACTACCTCCTTCCACGCTTGCCGCAACCGTTTCTTCCCTGTGCGTCAAGTGGGTGACCCTGTTTCCCCCTGTCCCCGCATTCCCTAGCCCCCCCTGCCCCTGCCCCCCCCATGACTCTGCCCCTCCTGCCCCCTCCCGAACCCTCTCCCCATTGGTGACGTCGCCAGGATCAGATCAGCTGCTGCCACCTGCCCCCCCCCTTTTCTGACTCCAACTGTATTTCCCCCATAACCTTACTGCAGCTTCTTCATTACCGCACGCTGAAAGAGCTCGTTTTGCTCGCGATGCTTGGCGGTGATGGTTCGGTACTCGCTACGGGCGGCCTTGGCAACCTCCAGCGCGTTGATGTATGCCTGCTCGGACGTGCTGACAAAGTCGCGGAGGATCTGCAGCGGACCGGCGAGTGTCGTGTTGACATCCTCAAGCAAGGCAGGGCCCTTGGCAGAGAAAACGATGAGTGAGCCCGGGTGCGCGCGAGAGCCGCGGATCGCTGCCGTCCCATCAATGCCCTCGCCGCTGCCTTCGCCGCTGTCAAAGACCCGCGAGGCTTCGGCGACCTTGGACCCTGTGGCGGCATCGAGCACAACAAGCGCGCTTCGGAGCTGCGCGAGGAGAAGCGGCGGCCCTTCCGGATCACCTGCATCCGGTACCGCCTTGAGCTGGACAACGTTGGTCCCGAGGCCCTCGATCGACACGTACGGGTAAGCAGCAAAGCCCATCCGGAGCGGTCGCGCTGCCTTGCGTGCCTCTGCTTCCGAGTCCGAGTACGACGAGTCCGAGTCCGAGTCCGAGTCCGAGTCCGAGTCAAGTGCCCCGTCATCCCCGCTTGCTTCGAGTCCAACCCGGTACCCGGTGATGGCGCGCCCACGGATGCCGCCGGTGCCGACCATGACGTAGGCCGCCAGTCGTCCGGCCAGGGTCATAACGTGGACGTCGACGGCAGTGACGAGGCCGCGGACTGCGGCCTGCCGCCCGACTTGTCGCCGGCTAGCCATGTCCCACAGCGTAAGCGTGCCGTCCTTGGCCGCTGTCAGCAGCAGCCGGCCGCCGATCATCCGCATGGCGGTCCCGGTCGACGGCTCAAAGCCCGAGGTCTTGGCTCCACCGGTCAGCTTTTCCACCGACTGGTAGATGAACCGCCGCGACGAGAGCCGCAGCACCTCCCACACATGGATTGTCGCGTCGTTTTCCTCACTCGACCAGAACGTGCCCGCCACAAGGCCAAAGACCAGGCCTGCTACCGGTGAGAGCGAAGCTGCAGGCACCGTCAGTAGCAAGTTGAGCGAGCCCTGCGAAAAGGCGAGCACGTTGCGGCCCGAAGCCACAAACACCAGCCGGCTCGTGGCATCGACAAGAGCCACGCCCAGCGACGCTGCTGCGCTCGACGACACATACGTCGCATGCACAAGCTTAGGTCGCGCCCGTGAGCAGAGCTTCCACAGCCCCACCATCCGCGCCACGCTGTGGATCGTGATAAACACGCCGCGCTTGATGCTCGCCCGCAGGACCAGGTTTGCCGCAGACAGCGTGTGGTCGTCGACGTCAACGGCAGGCCCCATCTCGTCGGACGGCTTGGTCGTGCCCTTGCCCGGCACCGCCATCGACGTCGAGTCGGGTAGCGCCACTGCAGCAAGGTTGACAGCGTGATGGAATGCGCCGTCGGCGGCCCGTTCACCGCCAGGTACAACCGCCAGCTGTCCGTCGCGCGAGCCCAGAATCCAAACAGAGCCCGTACCTGACGGCAGCGCCAGCTCCAGCGCCGACAGCACGCTCACCTGCGGCGTTAGCCTCCCCGCCAGTGGGGAGAGCTGAAGGACCGCCGGGCGGAAAATAGGCTTGGGTGGTGCAGACGGCGGCGGTGGGAGCGGCGGCGGCGGCACAATGCTGGCCTTTCGCAGAGTCGTCGGATGCGCTCGCCACGCCTTGCCCACCGCCGACCGCCACTTGGCCGACAGCGCCTTGCCCTTGGCCTTGGTCTTGGTCGAGTTCTTCCACTCGGTACCCTTACCTATCTCGCTCGTCCCTGCCGAGTACAGGGTGTAGATCCGGGCCGGCGGCGGCTCGCGCGACTGCTGCGGTGCTGAAATCCCGTCAGGCGTCACCGTCGCAATGTCAAACCCGTTGAGCTCGCGGACCGCCGCCGGCGACGACAGCCGTGAGGGGTACTCGATGGTTACAATCGACGCAATCCAGATGATGCCCTTGAGCACCGGCTCGTTCCCACCACCAGTCCCGACCTCGCCCTCGCGACGCCAGCCCTTCTTCACCGCGTAGTACTCCAGCCGATCGTGGAAGAGCCGAAACAGTCGAGTGTCAAAGCCCTTGTGCCTGCTCTTGCCCGACGACTTGACGAGCAGGCCCTCTAGAATGACATCGTCGCCATCGGCCTTGCTCCGCCACTCTGTCTCGTACATGCCCATCAGCACAGCATCATCAGTCCCCACATGGACCACAGCCTTCTCTTCCAGCCCCGCCTCTTGCAGCGATTCCCCATGCGGCAGCGGATCGTATCGATGTCCCGCCCGCACAACCAGCTCGCTTGATGCCACTCCTGCCAGCGCCGGAAACCGTGCTTGTGCCAGCTGAACAAGCTCTCTCACAGCAGCATCATCATCAACCTGAACCACCTTGGTCATCGATGGCGTCGATGATGGCATGGGCGCATGGAGCACGAGGACCAACCGGACAACCATACTCTCTCTCTCTCACACACACTCACGCGCGCTTTCTCTCTGTCTCTCTCTCCGTCCGTCCGTCCCTCCCTCCTCCCGGCGTTGTCTTCTCAACCTGGCGACAAGTCTGACTCTAGCCTATGTCTGCATCCGCCTCTCCCCGTCACGCCGGTTACGGTCGCTGTTGTTGTCGTTGTCGTTGGCCGTCGTTGCCTCGTCACTCGCTCCCCACCGCCACCCAGGCATACTTTGGACCGTACACACGGAAATAGAAAATATCGACATGTGTGACTCTCTCCATGACATAGCCAAGATTGTGCACATGTCATACATGTGTGTAAAGTGCTTGATGGGGGGGGTAATACCGCAGATCGGGCTTGGATAACCCCAGGTCCCGCTCTTGGCTCCTGCCAGTGTGGATTGGCGCCTTGCCACCCCCACCCCCACCTCAACTGCTCGTATGGCACGTATCCTGGTGATCCTTGTCCCTCCACACCACCTCACCTGACCAACACTCCCTTTCTACGTATGTACTATATGTCAGGACAACCATACCTTCTTTTCCATACAGTTATGGCCAGATCGAGGATGATTGCACGCACCGGCCTGCGGCAGTGCCATCCGCCGGACAGTAGCCGTTGGGGCCGAGCAAAGAGGGGGGGACAACGGGCACGACACCGACTGACACTCCACCACCACCACCACCACCACCACCACTACCACTACACCTACCCATCCACCACACACACACACACATCCACACGTGCAGTACTTATGGCATCCACTCGGTCGTATGACCGCAACCCGGAAATCATGGCGGTAGGTCGGGTGCCCGGCGGGGCGGGAAGCGGCGGGAAGGGGGGGGGGCGCCACGGCGGGTGCTCCTCCTCAGTCTTGGGGGGATCTGAGATGGACATGACTAACAGGAGGGAGACGGGATAGGCTGGTGTGCGGTCGTCGACAGGAGCGAGCTCAACGGCTCAGTGTTTGAAGTCGCCTGGGCGGGCAGCCACACCCGAGACGGTCAGGCGGTTCCGGTCGACGTATTTGAGGCAGCCTGGAGAGAGGACGAGGAATCATGTGACGGTGGACGATCCGCCGCCGAGGCCAGATGCGTACTCGTACGGAGTGAGGACAAACCATGGGCCTGACTCGACCGCGGCTCTGATGAAGCTGCCGTACAAGTCGGAGCTCCTGGCGGAGGCCGAGGAGATCTACGAGGAGGCCACCTTCAAGGGGAGGGTGTACCGGCGGCTGGGTGCAGCGCCGGCAACGTCGCGTGGCGCAAAGCTTCCGCAAGCTGTCCGCAATCCAGAGTACCGCTTCGGCATTGCCTCGGACTCGTCGATGTCGGCCAAGGAGCTCATCCAGCCATCTGACGGCGAGAACGTCGAGGAGACCGATCCACGCATTGTGGAGATGTACAAAAAGTCGCACCGGGCATACGCGCCTGGCGAGCAAGTCCGCACTGGGCTCTCGATGCGCAACATCGATCCTGCCACCCACCGGTTCGGGGCGCGGGCGGAGCGCTCGTACAACGAGGGCGGCGTCGCCGGCGTCCTCACCTGGACCAACGACGTGGAAGGTGGCGACCACACGGCGGTGCTTGTGCCCAAGCACATGGCCGAGCTCCACGCCAAGACCCAGCCACGGGTCGGCGTTTCGCGCTCGCGGGCGCTGCTGGCCACCGGCGAGGTGCCGGACAAGGCCTTTGGCACCGTCTCGCGGACCGACTCGATCGGAGCCGGCGAGCTCATCCACAACTCGCTGCCTTCAGAGCTGCTCGCCGAGGATCCGTCGCTGGGCAGGCCAGAGGTGCCCAAGGGCCGTCCGCGGGGCACTGGCCGCGTTGACCGCGACCGCGTCTACGGCGTGCCGTCCATCCGGTCCGACGTCCCACCTCCGGGCGTCCGCAAGCTCGACGACCGTCAGAATTACGGCGACGAGAAGGGCGCGTGGGAGCTGCTCAACCCTTCGCCATACCACACCATCGGTGTCACCGAGGACGACTTTCTTACTCCGCTACCCAAGGCCGAGCTCCGCGACATTGTCTCTGGTGCCGGCATCGACCTCACGCCGGCAGTCTTTGACTCGGTCCACACCGCTGCTGCTGCTCTTGATCCCAATGGTCTTGTCTCCATCGAGACCTTCCGCAATGTTCTCGATGAGTTCCGTGCCCGCGGCATGGCCTAACGCTGTCGATCCTTGCGCGAGCGAGCGAGCGAGCCAGCCAGCCAGCCAGCCTCTGCGTGCCCTCGGGCATGCTGAGCTGAGTAAATCGACGCTCGATGTGACTTTTGACGCCATCGTATCGCCCAGACTCCCCACCCACCGCAGGACATCCGCCCAGCGCAGTAAGCCAGTGCGCTTGCCCATGACTCGCGTGCGACAACATGACCAAAGAGCCATCACGGCCGGCATCGCGGCATGGCGGAGAGAAGGCAGGCAGGGGGTGACCGAGGCCGGTGCGAAGGGGAACAACCGGGCACTTGTCGCATATAGGCTAGACGGGCGTGTAGGGGAAGAGGCGGAGGTATGGAACGGGTGAGGAACCTACGGTCGCGGTCCATGAACGCCATCTCGTCGCTCTCGGGAGTGGGCGCGTCGTCGCTGGAGAACCTTCAGGACGGCATGCTCGGCATGCCCTTTGCCAACCAGTTTGAACCGGCACTACGGACGCTTCAACGAGTGGCTGCCACTCCTGGTCGCGCTGTTGCTGCTCTCTCTCATCGCGTCCTTCCGAACCTCTCGCCGCCTTCTTCGGTCACTCGCTTTGCTCGCCGTGCCCGAGAAGGCGTTCTCCGCTCGCGGACCACCGCGAGGCACCGCAACAAGCGCCGCACACGCGTCCGCGTCGCCGTCGACAGTGATGCTGCTGGCCGCGGTGTCGGAAGTGGCGAGGCGGAAAGTACTGCTGACAGTGGAGATGCTGGCGATGGGCTGGACGATGAGGGCCTCACTGTCCGGGTGCATGTGAGGCAGGACTCGATCGGATCGGGCTGGGGCTCGGGCTGGGAGAGCGAGGACGAGAGCGGCGGCGGAGATAGTCCTGCTGGGCATGCTGGTCCTGTGAGTGGCTACACCTACGAGTACGAGTACGAGTACGAGTACGAGTACGAGGTGGATCTCTTTGCCGAGGTGCCGGACGAGATTGTGATGCACATCATGATCGAATGGCTCTCGGTGTACGATGTGGTCATGCTGTCGTCAACCTGCCGGCGGCTGCGGCGTCTTGGCGGCGACCGCTTGCTGTGGCGGGCCAAGTACCTTTCGCTCTTTATGCCGTTTCCGGGTATGCACCTAGTGACCGACTGGAAGAACTACTTTGTGACCAAGGTGGAGACGGAGCAAAACTGGAACTACGGGCGGTGCCAGTGTTTTGATCTGGACTTGAGCATTGCCGACGACGTGGCGGCGCTGGCGGGGCTTGATGCTGCTGACAACCTCCCGTCGCCGCACATTGCGCGGTTTGTCAAGATTGTCGAGCCGTGGATTGTGGTCGCCGACGAGCGCGGCCAGGTCCTTGTCTACTCGCTGGTGACCCACCGGGTGGAGGATGTGATGATGACGTTTGGCAAGGCGCTGTGCATGGACTTTGACGGCGAGCAAGTGGTTATTGGTGGCGAACCTTCACGGGTGGCGCTCTACTCGGTCCACACCTCGACCCGGACCCACGAGTTTGTGGGCCACAACGACTCAGTCACGTGCGTGGTTCTTGCCGGCGGCCTAGTCGGCTCGGGCTCGTTTGACGGTACCGTGAGAGTGTGGGACATGATGACCGGCGAGTGCCTCACTGTTGTCCACCACCTCAACTTTGTCTCGTCGATCGACATCGACGACGGGACGCTGGTCTCAGCCTCGCGCGCCGACCGCCACATCAAGGTCTGGGACATTTCCAGCGGCACCGAGCTGGCGACGCTCGAGCTGCGAAGGGCAGTTACCCGAGTTCAGTTCAACGGCGGCGAGCTGGTTGCCTCGCTTGCCTCGTGCCTCCGCATGGAGCTGTGGGACCTCGCGAGCTGTACCAAGGCCAAGACGCTGCGAGTCACCTCGCGGCAGCATGTCGGCCATCTGCAAATTGACGGGCGCCGGTTGGTGGCGGGCGCCAGCTCGCAGCTCACTGTCTACGACACGTCTGCAGTCTCGTGCATCAACATCGGCTCCGAGTTTGGCTTTGGCGTCTCCATCACCCGTGCCTTTGGTGCAGAGATCGAGCCGCTCTATGCGCTCTCGGGCCACATCGCCGAGATCAGCAGTCTTGCTTTTGACGAGTGGCGCATTGTGTCGGCCTCGGCCGACGGCGTCAAGCTCTGGAACTTTGTGCCTGTCCAAGACGACGCGCCCGACGGCGCCATTGCGCCGTCGCCTCGGCTGGCGCAGCTGCGGGCGCTGCCGCGACTCAAGGAAAAGTTCTCACTTGCGCTCCCGCTCGCCACTGGTTGGTCGCGTCGGACGTCGTCGCCAGAGCCCACGCCACGGACTGTAGCGTACGCTGACATAATGCGGCTCGAGAACCGGGCGCGGGTGGCGGATGTCGCAGGCCCGTCGGGTGGCTCGCAGGCGGCGGCGTCGACAGCCGAGACGTCCGGCGGCGGCAGCGCGCACACCACTGCGGTTAGCGAGCCTGACCTGCCGGGCACTGAGCCGGCAGCTGGCGCGAGTGATGACGCCATCGTGGACTCACCAATGGCGATGCGTCGGAGCTCGAGCTCGCGCCGGCTCCGCGAAGTGTCTGTACGCGAGTTGTGGGCGTGGGTGGTCCAGCACCCGTGGTTCCAATTCCCGGTCCTCCTCTACGTGTGGTACCTGTGGGTAGCATACGAGTCGGGCGTGGAGTACTCGAACGCGCTCTCGAAGCGTGCGTCGAATCCCGTGCGCAAGTGGGTGCGGTCGTCGCTGATCTGGATGCCGCTGGCATTGCCTGCGGGAATGATGGCAGGCTTTGCGCTGCTGACCGAGGTGCCGATGCGGCGGCGACCCGAAGTGTATGTAGGCGTGTTCTGTGGGCTGGTGCTCCCATGGGTGGTGCACTCGTACCGGCGGCCGAAGATCATCACGCGGTGGATGCGGCTGCTGTTTTCTGTCCTCGAGTTTGTACTCATCATGGTGACGTGCGTGGTGCTCATCGAGATGTGCGCGTCCGAGGTAGTGATGTGGCGACTGCACTGCGTGGTCTCTGCAGGCTACTCTGTGGGCAAGGGCCTGCTCTACTCTGTGGCCGCGCTCGAGCCGTCGCGACAGTACGAGATGCAGACGACACTCTTCTACACCCCGCTCATCGGACTTGCCACCGGGACAGCGTTTGCGGTTGATGGGGCGCGGTCTGCGGTCCTGATCATCATCTCGATTGTGTTCTCGTTCCTCCACGCCGCCACCGACGGCGCGACCGGCGACGTGATGGACAACATGTTCTCGGTGGTGGCAGCCTCGTTCCTGGGGGTGGCCTTTCCGTTCTCGGCAGACCTCATGCTCACCGCCATCGAGTTTTCGGTCCACTGGGCCCTGGTCCACGTTGTCGACAAGTCGTCGGTCGACGAGTGGTGGGAGGCGTGGCTTGCCGACCACCGGTCGGGCTTCTCCACCACATACATCCGCCTGGCCTCGTTCTTTGTCGTCGGCGCCTCGTCGCTCGCCTTTATCAAGTACGTCCGCAAGTCAAGGTTCCACACTTGGCGCGAGCCCATCATCCGAGTCTCGTTCTGGGTCTACTGGCTCCTTCTCTTTGGCGTCATCTACGACATGTGGGTATGGATGTGGGCCAAGCTCCCTGTCTCGTGACCCATGCCGATCAATGTGCCAAAATGAACCTTGTAATAGCTACGGTGCAGTTTTCGATCGTCCCGCCACGGTCGCCGCAGTCGCCGTCACGGTTGCGACAGATGGTAACTACAAGTGCGCTAGCTAGCACAGGCCAAGTGTGGTTTTGTGCTGCTCGTCCTCGTACGTCACCACTTGTCGTGTAGCAACAGACCTGAGCATCGACCAAGACTATCCCATCCTCCACACTGTCACGTAATCTGGGCTTCCCTTTGCTTACGCTCACCAACTCACTTGTGCTGCTCCTCTGTCTTGTACTTGTCTCTACCGCCTTGCCCCTCTGTGGTTCCATGTCGTCGAGTGCGACCTGTGCTGACACGGCCTCGACCATGCCCACCATTCTCAAGCCACCGTCCGACTCTCGCGACTACCGCTACATCGAGCTGGACAACGGTCTGCGTGCCGTACTGATCTCGGGTAGGTGAAGGTGGTGATGGTGGTGGTGGTGGTGGTGGTGGAGGTGGGGGGGGGGGGAGGGCAGGACGGCGCGATCGCCAGGTTACTGGTATTGGGGGGGGAGGGGGGCAGACGGGCGCAGGCCGTGAATGGCACCAACTCACCGCGTCGCAACCGAATGGTGAATGGAACGTACGGGGACGGTTGGTCCACCTCGACCACGGTCTGACCACGGCCCGACTGCACATCGCCCACACATCGACTCTCTGGATCGACCACATCATGAAATACAGACCCGTCGTCCGAAAAGGGCGCGGCTGCGTTGGACATGGGCGTGGGTCAGATGTCGGATCCGGAGGAACTGCCTGGCCTGGCACACTTTCTGGAGCACATGCTGTTCCTGGGAACGGAAAAGTACCCGGACGAGACGGCGTACTCGTCGACGCTCAAGAAGCATGGCGGCTCTTCGAACGCATACACGCAGTTTGAGGACACGGTCTACTTTTTCGACGTTGCTGCGCCAGCGCTCAACGAGTTGCTCGACATCTTTGCGCAGTTCTTTGTGGCGCCGCTCTTCACCGCAGACGCGACCGGCCGCGAGCTGAACGCGGTCGACTCGGAGCATGCCAAGAACATGCAGGTGGACGTGTGGCGGACGATGCAGCTGATGCGGACAACGTCCAGCGAGGACTACCCGTTCTCCAAGTTTGGCACCGGCTCCAAGGAGACGCTCGAGACGACGCCGGCGGAGGCCGGCATCGACGTCCGCGACGCCCTGCTTGCCTTTCACGCCAAGTACTACTCGGCAGCGATTGCAACCCTGGCGGTGCTTGGGACCGAGTCGCTCGACGAGCTAGAGGCGACCGTCCGTACCAAGTTTGCGGCCATGCCGCGGACTGCTGATGCGCGCCCTGTTCATCGCGCCGACGGCGTTGTTGACTCCACCAACCCCGATTCACTGCCGTTTGGCGACGGCGGTGTCGGCCAGTGGTTTTCGGTCGTCCCGGTCGCTGACGCCCGCTCGGTCGCGCTCTGGTTCCCGGTCCTCCCCTGCGCGCCGCACTACAAGACGCGTCCAGCGTCGGTGCTCGGCCACCTGTTTGGCCACGAGTCTGCAGGCTCGATTCTGGCGGCGCTCAAGGCCAAGGACTGGGCGACCGGGCTCTCGGCAGGGCTTTCGGGCCTGGCCACCGCCGACTTTGACATCTTTACCGTCTCGGTCGACCTCACCGAAGCCGGCGAGGCCAACGTGACCGAGGTGGTGGCAACCATCTTTGCGTACGCGGACATGGTCCGCGCGGCCGGCCCGGCGGCGCTCGAGTGGGTCTACGACGAGCTGGTTGCCATGGGTAAGGTCTCGTTTGCGGCCAAGGAGCCGCAGGCGCCGCTCAAGACCGCGCTCTCGGTCGCATCGAACTTGCAGCGGGTGGCGCCCGAGGACGTGCTCGCGTTCTCGACCCTCTTTCTCGCTGACGCCTATGATCCGGAGCCGGTCCGTGTTCTGCTCGAGAGCCTCACCCCGACCAACGTCCGCGTCCTGCACCTCTCCAAGTCGGTGGCGCCGCTCGCCAACGCCGAGGAGCGGTGGTATGGGACTTCGTACGAGCAGCACGCACTCGACGTGGCAGCAGTGAGCAAGACCGCCGCCGAGCTCGAGGTCGAGCTCAGCCTCCCGACGCCGAACCTGTTCATCCCAACCAACCTTGAGCTCAAGAAGCTTGCTGGCGGGGCGGAAGCCGGCGAGACGTACGCGCCGGTTGTCATTGCCGACACGCCGCTGGTCAAGCTCTGGCACAAACAGGACAACACGTTTGCGACGCCCAAGGCCTCGGTGTGTGTTAAGATCAAGACACCGCTGGCGTACGCCTCGCCGCGGTCGGTCGTCCTCACTGCGCTGGCCATCAACATGATCAAGGAAGAGCTCAACACGTACGCGTACTTTGCCGAAGTCGCCGGCCTCAAGTTTGCGCTCGCCTACGATCCGCAGGGCATGGTGGTCCAGGTCTCGGGCTACAGCGACAAGCTGCCGCAGCTGCTCGAGGCTGTGGTGGGCAAGCTTGCTGCGCCGGCGCTGGATAGCGAGAGCGTGTTCCTTGCGCAAAGGGACCTCATGACGCGGGCATACCTCAACGCTCGCAAGCAGCAGCCATACATGCACGCGTTCCAGGCGGCCAAGGCCACGCTCATCGCACCCGAGTGGACGCCGGAGCAGAAGCTGGCCATCATCGGCTCCGTCAAGCTCGCCGATGTCGTCGCCTTTCTTCCGCGGCTCTTTGCCCAGTTTTCGCTCGAGGCGTTGGTCCACGGCAACGTGACACCCGACGAGGCGCTGGTGGCGGTGACCTCGCTCTCTACGGCCTTGACCGAGGCGTACTGCTCGGTCCCGCTGGCAGCCGAGCTCGCCCAGCCGCGGCGGGTGGTAGCGCTCGGCGCTTCGCGCCCAGGCGCAACAGCCCCGCTGGTGGTTGCCGAGCTCGGGCCCGACGCCGACAACGCCAACTCGGCCATTTACACCGTGTGGCAGGCCGGAGTCAACAGCCCGGCGGCCGAAGCCAAGGTCGGCCTCCTCGGACAGGTCATCAACCAGCCGGCCTTCCACGAGCTGCGAACCAAGCAGCAGCTCGGGTACATTGTTGACGTCAGTTCGAGCGAAATGGAGGGCACTGTCTGCGTCCGCGCCGTCATCCAGTCGGCGGTCAAGGACCCGGCCGCGCTCGACGCCGCACTCGACGCCGCGCTCGCGGACATCCGCGCCGAGCTGGCGCAAATGTCGGCTGAGGAGTTTAGCCAGCACGTGGCGGCGCGCAAGCTCGCGGTCTCTGAGCGGGACAAGCGCCTTGCGCAGGAGACAAACCGGTTCTGGGGCGAGATCTCCAAAGAGCGGTACGTTTTTGACCGCGTCTCGCAGGTGGTGGCGGCACTCGACGCCGTGTCGAGCGTCGACCAGCTCCTTGCCTGGTACGACGAGGTCATGGTGCCTGCCAACAAGGCCTCTTTCTACCTCTATGCCGCTGCGATGGTCGAGGCCGGTGCCAAGCTCCCTGCCGCTGTCGATGGCGTGGCCTTTAAGCGCGGTGCGTACTTGTACCCGCTGCCGTGAGATGGAGCTCTACTGGGCACTGGCCTCGGCGGCCTTGCGGGTGGCGACGACTTCGCTAATCACGTTCTTGAGAACGTTAAACGCGCCGCGCTCGATGAGGAGAAAGCGGAACGGCTTGTCGAGCTTGCCAATGGTGAGGTGGAGGTAGGTGTCGTCGTCGTCCTTTTCGAGGCGGAACTCCTTGAGGGCGCCGACCGAGGCCTCCCACATGGGCTCATCGAGCGAGTCAAGCATGCCGACGCGGGCGTTGCCGACCTCGATGTTGCGGACGGCACCGTCAAGCTTAAAGTAAAGGGTGGCTGGCGAGCCATCGAGCGAGCCGGCGTAGGTAATGGGCGACGCGGCAGAGAAGAGGGCGCAACGGGCGGCGAGCGAGACCTTGGCCACCCACTTTTTGAGCTCGCCGAGCGTCGAGGTGGCAATGTGGTACGACGACGGGAGACCGGCGTCGACAAAGAAGCAGAACTTGCGGCGGAAGGCCGCGAGAAGCTTCGAGTCGCGGACCGGGTGGAAAACGGTCGAGATGATGGGGAGGCGGAGGACCTCGCCGATGTCGAGGTCGTCGACGTTGCGCGGCATGTCGTCGTAGAACGAGAGGCAAAAGTCGGAGAGAACCGCAAACTTCCACACCCACTCGTACGCGCCCTTCATGCCCGAGTCCGCGATGCCAACATTGGCGTCGAGGTTGTCGGCCTTCAGGTGGAGCTGGACCCAGCCACGGTAGACAATGGCGCCGGTGAAGCCCGGGGCCGGCGCCGCCATGGTCATTTCGCGCATCTGGAACTGCCAGTCAAAGATGTGGGTGAGGATGCGGTCGACCCACTCGGTCCGCTCGGCCTTGGTCTTGGCTGCAAAGTTGAACGTGTGGCACAAGTTCTTGCCGTAGATGACCGAGAACTGTGTGTTGTTCTTGGAGCTTTTGAAACGGAGAAAGGCGCCGCAGAGCGGAATGGTGGCGAGGACCGGTGCGTCGGCCGAGTTGCCCTTGTGCACCACAATGTTGGCGAGCGAGACGGTGCAAAACCGCGACTTGAACTTTTTCGAGATGAGGCCCGACTCTTCAAACTCGAGCAGGCCCTGCTTGGTCACCGCGTCCTCGTCGATGTCCGAGCCCTCGTCCGAGAGCTCAAACACCTCGTCGTCTTCCATTCCGGCCACGCCCAGATCGACCGCCTCACCGAGCGGCTGGCCAGCTGCATCAAACGACTGAGTGACAACTGCCTGTTTGGCAAGGTTGATCCGCGGATCGCCCGACATCATCTGGCTAAAGCTCTGTCCGGCCTCGGCGTCGGCGGGATCCGGAACGCCGGCCGACGCCTGCCGGGTGTGGATGACGACCGGCGGCTCGACGGATGGTGCGGAATCGGTGGTGGGGAGCGGCTGGGCCTGCAGCCTTGGCTCTGGCTCCGGCTCTGGCTCTGGCTCCGGCTGCGGCTCCGGCTCCGGTTCCGGGGCACTGGCTGCAGCGGCGGCCGGCGACGACGGTTCGCCCGCATCGGATGCCTCGGAACGTGGAGTTGTTGGCGCTGAGTCGACCTGATCAAAGACGTGGGCCGAAGGGATAATAGACGGGCGACGCGATAGCTGCCCGGCCGGCATGTACTTTGCGGCGTAGGCGCGGGCAGCAGCGGGCGAGTAGCCGGCCAGGACTTCGCGGAGCGCTTGGTACTTGTCGTACAGCGGCTGGATAAACTCGGGGCCCTGTCCCATGAGCTTGGCACCCTTGATTTGGCCCTTGACGTCATGCTTGGCCGCCTCGAGCATGTCGCGGGTGGGCACAAAGTCTGCGCCGGGCCCACCGGGCGCGAGCGCGTGCTGGGCCACGACAGCCGAGCCGAGACCGGCCGACGACAGCGCCGGCACAGCGGCCTGACTGTCTGGATCGTCGGCAGCCTCGACCGAGATGACGACCGCTGGCTGCCCGCAGAGCTCAGCGCGCTGGTCGTCGGTCAGGGGCGGCGGGCCGGCACGCGAACCGAGCCACGCCCGCACCGCCTGATACCGCTCAAACAGTGGCTCGATGACAGCATCAGCGTCGCCGCGGGCCTTGGCTTGCTTAATCGCCTCCTTCTTGGCGGCCTTTTCCGCCTCGAGTACCCCAACTGCGGCCTCGGCATCGATACTCGCCACGGCCGAGCCAGGCCCGCCGCTCGGCTCCGCCACGGCCGATGCCGACTGGTTTCCAGACTCGACGGGAGACTCTCCCGAAGACACCGTCACCGATGCGGTCGCCGATGCCTTTGCCGCCGCAGCAGACCTCGCCTTTGCCGCCGCAGTCTCGAGATCATGGACCGAGGCCGAGACTGCCTTGTATTCGGAGTACACCGGCGCAATGTCTGTGTCGGCAGCACCGGATGTCTGTGTGATGGAAGGGATGGGGATGGGGGGGGAGGGTGAGTGTGAGGAGGAGGGTGGACGGGGAGGGGGAGGGGGAGGGGGAGAGGGGAGGGGGAGGGAGAGGAGGCATGTACCTTGAGCTCCTTCACCTTTGCCTTCAGCTCGTTCTTGCGGGCAATGAGCTGCTCCAGGGAGGACATGGTGGAAGGGGGGGGAAGGGCGGGGGGGGGGGGGGGGGGGGG